GAAGACGCGGAGCTTCAGAGCTTCAGCCGAAGACGCGGAGCTTCAGAGCTTCACCGAAGACGCGAAGCTCTGAAGACGCGGAGCTTCAAAAACGAAGACGCGGAGCTTCAGAGCTTCAAAGCTTCAGGAGCTTCAGAAGCTTCACAGCTCCACCGAAGACGCGGAGCTTCAGAGCTTCAAGAGCTTCAGGAGCTTCAAAGCCAAAGCGAAGACGCGGAGCTTCAGAGCTTCAAAGCTTCAGAACGATTCCGGGACCACGCTGCCGATGCGGTCATACCAACATTCCGCCGGTTCAGCAACCAAAAAACAAGGTGAGCCCACGGACCCAAAAGCAAAAAGAAGCGCACAACCCAGGAAAAATAAACAAACACTAATTAGCAGGCCAAAACGAAGCATCAGCCCCCGCCAGGCTTCGTGGCAACTACGATATTTCAAGCATCGCGGTTCTGGTGCAACACAGCTCCACTCACCTCCCAACGGGCTTCCGCGAAGCATGGAGCAGCACTACCCCCACCCATGCTTCGTTCTACTTGTGCATTGACCCGGAGCAGCCTGCAATGATGCTGGTGGTGCAACCATGTGCTCGAGGCAACAATCCTGCCGTTTCAGCCACGACTTGACCGTCTGTCGCGTGCATTGCGCACTTTTTGGACACCCAAGACCATCGTATAAGCCCCGCAGCTCCACTCACCTCCCAACGTGCTTCCGCGAAGCATGGAGCAGCACTACCCCCACCCATGCTTCGTTCTACTTGCGCACTGACCCGGAGCAGCCTGCCATGATGCTTGTGGTGCAACCATGTCCTCGTAACTAGCATATCAGCCGCGCAAGCGTCCACACCCATGCACTCCCCAGCCCCGTCCACGCCCAAGCCACGCCGTCTCCCTCCATCTTCCCTCCCCAGCCCCGTCCACACCCATGTGCGCCTCCCACTCCCTTCCTTCTTCCCTCCCCACCCATGTCTCGTCGCTCCCCTCCATCTTCCCTCCCAGCCCCGACCCCACGCGCCTCCCGTCCCACCCACGCGCCTCCCATCGCGCTCCCCTCCACCCACGCACCTCCATCTTCCGTCTCGCTCCCCTCCATCTTCCCTCCCCAGCCCCTGGCGTACTTCTAGGGCTCCGTCCGACTCTGCGCCGCACGGTCTCCGACGGATCCCGAGTTTGGCCCACACGCGGCGTTGGGCGCGTGGCAGTTCCGTCTTTCGTCGGGTTGGCTTCTGGAACCTGACTGACCCCTGTTTTGGAGGGTCAACTATCCCAAATATGGCCTTTTCCTGTCAAAAAAGGGGTCAAACGGATTCTAGGTGTATATATATAATATGACAACCGTTCCAGGAAGCCTAGAGCAGTATCGGCCCCCTCCAAGGTTCGTTCCAACCGTACAATTTCCCACGTTGCGCTTGTGGCACATAACGCTCCTCCCGTGTCGGCCATGCCTTGACTGTCTGGCACATGTACTGTGCACATTTTGGACACCCAACCCCACCGTATCAGCCCCGCAGCACAGCTCCACTCACCACCCAACACACGTCCGCGAAGCATGGACCAGCACTACCCCCACCCATGCTTCGTTCTACTTGCGCACTGACCCGGAGCGGCCTACCATGATGCTTGTGATGCGACCATGTGCTCAACGCAACATTGCCTGTCGCAGGCATTGTGCACATTTTGGACACCCAAGACCATACCTAAGCCCCGCAACACCGCTCCATTCACCTCCCAACGTCGAAGCTGGACCAGCACTACCCCCACCCATGCTTCGTTCTACTTGTGCACTGCCCCAGAGCAGCCTGCACTGATGCTTGTGGTGCGACCATGTGCTCAACGCAACTGCCGCGTTTATTCTGCACATTTTGGACACCCAAGACCATACCTCAGCCCCGCAACACCGCTCCATTCACCTCCCCACGTGCCTCTGCGAAGCATGGAGCAGCATTACCCCCACCCATGCTTCGTTCTACTTTTGCACTGCCCCAGAGCAGCCTGCAATGATGCTTGTGATGCTTGCGGGCTCCCGGTGGACGGGGTTGGGAAGGGAAGAGGGAAGGGTGGGGACGGGGCTGGGGAGGGAGAATCCAAGCATCGGAGATGCTTTTGGGAACAACGATTCAGCAACCAAATGCACAGTAGGTCAGGTGGGGTCGTGGGATGGGGCAATAACGTTCCGGGTTGGGCGGGGTGGTGGGCTGGGCTAGTAACGTTCTTGGGAGATGGCGCCTGGGTACTGAGTGGGGTGGTGGGATGGGGCTGGGGCAATAACATTCCTGGCAAATGGCAGCTGGGTACTGCATCACAGTAGGTTGGGCGGGGTGGTGGGATGGGGTTAGGCAGACGATGCTGAGAGGCAGCATGTGGGGAGACCGCAAGAGTTGCCATCTGCCTCCGCTTGGAACACTTTAGAGCAACTTGAGCAGATGGCGCAGAAGAGGAGAGAAAAGAACAAGGTGAGCCCGCGGACCCAAAAGCAAAAAGAAGCGCACAACCCAGGAAAAATAAACAAACACAAATTAGCAGGCCAAAACGAAGCATCAGCCCACTCCAGGCTTCGTGGCAACTATGATATTTCAAGCATCGCGGTTCTGGTGCAACACAGCTCAACTCACCTCCCAACGGGCTTCCGCGAAGCATGGAGCAGCACTACCGGAGCAGCCTGCAATGATGCTGGTGGTGCAACCATGTGCTCGACGCAACAATCCTGTCGTTTCAGCCACGACTTGACCGTCTGTCGCGTGCATTGCGCACTTTTTGGACGCCCAAGACCATCGTATAAGCCCCGCAGCTCCACTCACCTCCCAACGTGCTTCCGCGAAGCATGGAGCAGCACTACCCCCACCCATGCTTCGTTTTAATTGTGCACTGACCCGGAGCAGCCTGCAATGATGCTTGTGGTGCAACCATGTCCTCGTAACTAGCATATCAGCCGCGCAAGCGTCCACACCCATGCACCCCCCAGCCCCGTCCACACCCAAGCCACGCCGTCTCCCCTCCATCTTCCCTCCCCAGCCCCGTCCACACCCATGTGCGCCTCCCACTCCCTTCCTTCTTCCCTCCCCACCCATGCGCCTCCCGTCTCGCTCCCCTCCATCTTCATGCGCCCCCCGTCTCGCTCCCCTCCATCTCCCCTCCACCCATGCGCCTCCATCTTCCATCCCCAGCCCCGTCGCCTCCCGTCTCGCTCCCCTCCATCTTCCCTCCCCAGCCCCTGGCTACTTCTAGGGCTCCGTCCGACTCTGCGCCGCACGGTCTCCAACGGATCCCCAGTTTGGGCCACGTGTGGCGTTGGGCACGTGGCAGTTCCGTCTTTCGTCGGGTTGGCTTTTGGATGTATCATACACCTGGAACCTGAGTGACCCCTGTTTTGGAGGGTCAACTATCCCAAATATGGCCTTTTCCTGTCAAAAAAGGGGTCAAACGGATTCTAGGTGTATATGTATATATATATATAATATCTATCAACTGGTTGTTTTCAATCTGCAGCTAGTCTCCAATAACATTGCAACATGGCTTCTGACAACCGTTCCAGGAAGCCTGGAGCAGTATCGGCCCCCTCCAAGGTTCGTTCCAACCGTACAATTTCCCACGTTGCGCTTGTGGCACATAACGCTCCTCCCGTGTCGGCCATGCCTTGACTGTCTGGCGCGTGTACTGCGCACATTTTGGACACCCAACCCCATCGTATCAGCCCCGCAGCACAGCTCCACTCACCACCCAACACACGTCCGCGAAGCATGGATCAGCACT